ACGGCGGTGGAAGAAGACGTGAACGACAGTGGAACTAAGTAGGCTTATATAATCACAAATGTAATGGTAGCGAAAATAGTGTAGAGATTACAATCACGCTATATAACCATCTCAGCAAGTTTTGATAAATGGATAGAAAGAGGTGAGCATCTTGGGTTAAAAGACAGTGAACTACGAGAGTCTGTTAAACAACAACAAGAACTAGAGAGAGAAGACGGTAACAGAAGAGAGAGGAAGAAAGACTAAAAGAAAATAAACTGGAAATAGAGAGAATAAGAACACAAACTGAGATTCCAAGCTCGCCCAACAGAAAGGACCTAAAAATGACAAGCTGCCCAAATTTCATGAACAGAAATGTGACATTGATGCTTTCTTGAATAGATATAAAAGATTCGCCCAAAATCAGAACTGGGACAAAGGCGACTGGACTGTCTGTCTCAGCTCACTTCTCACAGGATAAGGCCTACAAGTATATGCAGGCAATACGTCAGAAGATGCCATGGACTATGACAAATTAAAAGTGGCATTGCTGAAACAACATGAACTTACGGAAGAAGGTTTACGTCGGAAGTTCAGAGACAAACCTGACACTGGAGAAACCGTATTTCAGTTTGTGGCACGTCTACCGCGATACTTCACAAGATGGAATGACTTGGCCAAGTGTGAAAATAGTTTTGAGGGACTGGCAGACCTACTAATACGAGAATAGTTCATGATCACGTGTTCAACTGACATGTCACTGTTCCTAAAGGAATGAGTACCAAAAGACATAGACGAGATGATCAATCTGGCAGAACAGTATATGGAAGCCCATGGAGGAAGTATAAGAGGTAAATCCAAGAATATCCAGTTAAAGTCGAAAATAGTGATGGCTGACCAGGAGCACGAGTCTACCAAAGGTGACAAGAAGTTAACAGATAAATGGGAGAAGAGATGCTAATTTGTTAGAAAATAGGACAAATTGCAAAGGAGTGCAAATCCATCACCAACAAGCGACAGTAGAAATCTCAACATAATGCAGCTGGAGCTACATACAAATATAGTGCTGGCAAGAAACAAAAAATGTGACTGTCGCTATGGGTGCTTCTGCGAGAAGAAACATAATCAAGAAAACACTTCAGATTCAGAGGAAGAAATAAGTGCCATTTCCATGATTGATCAGTGTACGACTAATGATCAGCTCAAGTTAGGAAATGGATCAACAGTGCCAGTAGTAATTGAAACATGTTACATATATCGAGAGGTGCCAGCAAATTACAATATGCTAATAGATGAAAGCTATTTCGGGGAAGAGAAAGTGAACGTCCTACGAAACACTAGGTGCAGTAGTGCAGCAGTGAGAAACCAATCTAGTATCTGATGAACAGATTACAAACAATGTACGCCTATGTGTGCTAATTGATGGGACCGTGAGAAAGTTTCACATAGCAAAAATATAGGTGGATACTCCATATTAAGTAGGAAATATTGAAGCCATGTGTATCAAGGCACCACTATACGACTTGGTGATTATAAACTTATCAGGTAGTAGAAATTTCGAGGAACTAGACAGAAAGAAGACTGATTTGGCATCTGTAGTCACCATTAGAGCTCAAGGGAAGATGAGCAAGCAAAATATCAATGGCCTTAAGATATTTAAATGTGACATCCCGAATGCAAGTCTACGGGATCGGAAGAAAACTCAGAAGAAAAACCCTTCTCTGCAGAAACTTTGGGACAGTGTCCGAGAAAAAGTCATACATAACACAAATGGAAAGAAACTTACAGAACAAAGGACCAGAAAGGAGTATTGAAACAGACCTATCAGAGCAATTCTACTGGTGAAGCTAAACACATTAAAGGCATAAGAAGTACTTATATAACAAGGAGGTCAAGGATTGACATTTCAAGGTCGGACAGAAGGTCTTAGTTCCGCTACCCACAGCCAACAACGAACTCATTCGACAGTAGAAAGAACCTTTTGAAGTACAGGAAGTTATCAATAGAATGCACTATAAGGTGAAAGTGGATGGGTCGACCAAGGTTTACCACACCAATCTGTTGAACAGGAACTTCGAGAGGGAAGAATACCTTATGGGTGCAGCTATTGAGGTACAGATTGTTGTGGCAGGTGTAACTGTCATAGAAGCAGAATCTAAAGACAGTGACTTCATTATAGAAGATAACGACCTACTAGACCCAAGACCACTGGGTGGAGATGAGATGTACAAAGACGTCAACATAACTGATTAACTGACTTGCAAGAAGAAGAAAGAGGTACAAAATCTACTGTGTCAGTAAAGAAATAGATTAGGAAATACAGATCTCAGGAATCACAAAATCAAGATGAAGACAAGGGATCCTGTCAAGGTGAAGCCTTACCAAAGGCTCTACGCGAGGAGAGACCGACAAAGCAACTGTAAATGTTGGTGTAGACCAGGGGTCACCAAACTTTTTTCACAGCGGGCCAGATAACTGAGAGAATGACGAGCGCGGGCCGCATAACCATT